ATGGGAAACTAGCCCTTGAGACCAGTATATCCCGTCCTCACGAGGTGGCACCGTCCATTTGGAGGGGCTTTCGGGAGCTGACCCACAGATGGCGTGGTCGTCACTGCTCCGTGCTCGGACGTTGGGCTCGGGTCCGTAACAGTGGTGTGGTGGGTTTATTGTCTGGTGGTGTGGTGGGTTTATTGTCTGGTGGTGTGGTGGGTTTATTGTCTGGTGGTGTGGTGGGTTTATTGTCTGATGGTGTGGTGGGTTTATTGTGGTGGGTTTATTGTCTGGTGGTGTGTGTGGGTTTATTGTCTGGTGGTGTGGTGGGTTTATTGTCTGGTGGTGTGGTGGGTTTATTGTCTGGTGGTGTGGTGGGTTTATTGTCTGGTGGTGTGGTGGTCTGGGTTGGTGGGTTTATGTCTGGTGGTGGTGTGGTGGGTTTATTGTCTGGTGGTGGTGTGGTGGGTTTATTGTCTGGTGGTGTGGTGGTGGGTTTATTGTCTGGTGGTGGTGTGGTGGGTTTATTGTTGGTGGTGGTGTGGTGGGTTTATTGTCTGGTGGTGTGGTGGGTTTATTGTTGGTGGTGTGGTGGGTTTATTGTGTGGTGTTATTGTCTGGTGGTGGTGTGGTTTATTGTCTGGTGGTGTGGTGGTGGGTTTATTGTCTGGTGGTGGTGTGGTGGGTTTATTGTCTGATGTGTGGTGTGTCTGATGGTGTGGTTATTGTCTAATGGTGTGGTGGGTTTATTGTCTAATGGTGTGGTGGGTTTATTGTCTGGTGGGTGGTGGGGTTTATTGTCTGGTGGTGGTGTGGTGGGTTTATTGTCTGGTGGTGGTTATGGGTTTCTTGGTGTGTGGTGGGTTATTGTGTGGTGTGGTGGGTTTATTGTGGTGTGGTGGGTTTATTGTCTGGTGGGTGTGGTGGGTTTATTGTCTGGTGGTGTGGTGTGGTGGGTTTATTGTCTGGTGGTGTGGTGGGTTTATTGTCTGGTGGTGTGTGGTGGGTTATTGTCTGGTGGTGTGGTGGGTTTATTGTCTGGTGGGTTTATTGTGTGGTGGGTTTATTGTCTGGGTGGTGGGTGTGGTGGTGTGGTTTATTGTCTGGTGGTGGTGTGGGTTTATTGTCTGGTGGTGTGGTGGGTTTATTGTCTGGTGGTGGTGTGGTGGGTTTATTGTCTGGTGGGTGGTGGTGGGTTTATTGTCTAATGGTGTGGTGGTGGTGGTGTGGTGGGTTTATTGTCTGGTGGTGTGGTGGGTTTATTGTCTGGTGGTGTGGTGGTGGGTTTATTGTCTGGTGGTGGTGTGGTGGGTTTATTGTCTGATGGTGTGGTGGGTTTATTGTCTGATGGTGTGGTGGGTTTATTGTCTGGTGGTGTGGTGGGTTTATTGTCTGGTGGTGTGGTGGGTTTATTGTCTGGTGGTGTGGTGGGTTTATTGTCTGGTGGTGTGTGGTGGGTTTATTGTCTGGTGGGTGTGGTGGGTTTCTTGTCTGGTGGTGTGGTGGGTTTATTGTCTTATGGTGTGGTGGGTTTATTGTCTGGTGGTGTGGTGGGTTTATTGTCTGGTGGTGTGGTGGGTTTATTGTCTAATGGTTTGTAGAGCAATACAATGGCAGAAGGTAGAAATCTGGAGGCTTTTTTGTAAATTAATTTATCATCTCAGCAAGGGCACTTGACTTTGTTTTAAGAGAAAGGATTATCTCATTAACTTCAGTGGAATTAGCGAGAGTTAGGTACACACACTCTGGATAGTTACCTGTAAGGTGGTCCTTAACATTAGTTTGGGAGGATGGAATATCATTAGCAAATGATTTGCCAATGGATAAGAAAACCTATTGAATTCAATTGCAGTGTCAGAGGCTGAAAGCACACCATCGTCATTGTACAGGAATATTGGCATTGGACAGTTTTTTATTCAAAATCTTTTTTGATACTAATATTTGGAAAATAGTGCTCCATGTATTCTTAATGTTGCCCTTAATTTGGTCAAATTTATTTTCGTAGTATTTTATTTTGGCTCTCCTAATTATTTTAGACAGCACTGATGAGCAAGTCTTTGAAACTTCTTTGGAGACGACTCTTAACCTTTACATCTTCTCAGTCATGGTTTTTATTAATAGATTTAAATATACCCTTTGTAAGCCATGGATTGTTTAACCTTTTAGTTGTGGCTTCTTTCGTTAGCATTGGACAGCATCTTACCTGATAGATTAGATTAAAGACCTGCTCAAAGTGCTATGCGTGTTAGTGGCTTTGCATGAATAGCAAAATACCAATCTTATGTAATCTCAAAAACCCATTGTACCCTTTCTTGCAAATAAATTAATAATAATAATAATAATAATAATAATAATAATATTATTATTATTATTATTATAAAAGGGCCCAGTCTTTGGAACTCACTCCCTGATGCATTAAAAAATGTTCCAACCTAAACCTCGTTCAAAAGTAAAAGCAAAAAGTCCCTAATTTCATCCTCATAGTTTCATACCTTGTGCTTCAAACTCACACTGTTCTTGCTCTACCCACTTCCCCAATATTAGTACAGTACTTGAGACTAATTAAGTACTTTTTTTTTAGATATATACAAGAGTTGTTACATTCTTGTACATTCTTGTACTTCGTCTCTACCAGTGTAATCACCTCTGTCAATTTATATTGTTGATATAAAACCTTATTACAATATATGTTTTCACCTTACCTGATATGTTAGATTAAGGACTTGCCCGAAATGCTGTGTGTGTTAGTGGTTTTTCAAGAATGTAAAAACATAACTAATGTAATCTCACCAACCCATTGTACCTTCTTGTAAATAAAATATCATTATTATTATTATTATTATTATTATTATTATTATTATTATAAGTGTCAGGAGACAGAAAACAGGTTTATCCCAGCCCAAAAAGAAAAAAACAGAAAAGCAAAAGGGGAATCCGTGGTTCAATCCGTGGGGCATGTCCCAATCTACAAAAAAGGGGGGATAGGCAGGAGGCCCTAAACCACAGCGTGGTGTCCATAACTTGGATACCATGCAAGGTAATGGAGAATATTGTGAGGAAAAAGCCTGGTGGCACCCTGGAGAGAAGTAAGTAATTATAAAAAAAAAAGACACCAAGCCGGGGGAGGTTATAGCACCATTAAATGTGCGCGATATTCAAACGGCGCTAAATATCACTAAGGATGCCAATAAGAGAACAAAAGCGCATAAGACGAACACCATTAAAGGTATCCGATTCACCAAGGATTTTATTGAAACAAGTGATCCCAAGGAACAGTCGGGAAGTAAGACGTAAACACATTTTAGAAGAAAGGACATTCAACGAAGATATGCATGACCGTAAGAGATACAATTCTGTTTGGACAACAAGGAGCAGGGCGGCGCTCAATTAATTAAGTGCCCGTGAGAAGCGGGTATGGCCAATAGGTAACCTCACCAGAGACGTTTCCCACTGCCAGTTACGGTGGTAGGAGGAAGGCCATGGGGGGACACAACCCTTAAGAGCACACAGCTTGTTACTAGTAACAGAAGACCAGCGATCTTGCCAACAAGCACGGAATGTGGAATAAATACCAGGGAAGACGTCGAAATAAGCAACACCTTTGCTGGAAATGGGACAAGTGCAGATAGCCACCTTTGTGGCAGTATCCGCACTCTTATATAAGGAAACATCAATTTGGCTGGGAACCCAGCAAAACTCGACTGTCTTCAATTTACTGGAGATAAACAGCCAATATTGAATTTTGACCACCACAGGATGAACAGGATTAAAGGATGCCAGAGCCACGAGCTAAGGCACTACAAAAGTCAACTACAACAACAAAGGAAGAAGTACGGCAAGAAAGCAGTTGAGGAGCATACAAAATTGCATTAAGTTCTGCCGTGAAGAAGCTAGTCTCCTGAGGCAGGAGACACACGTAGGTGCATTCAGGAAATACAACGGAGTAGCCTACACCGCCAGCCGACTTAGACCCCATCTATGAAGATGGAGATAGAGCTGGAGTGTGAATTAAAGTGAGCAAGGGAAAAAATATTTCAGAACTGTAGGAGGGGTAAAAGCTTTAGTCATGCTGGTCAAGGTTCTACAAAACTTACGAAGAGGGAACCTCCATGGGGGCAAGGACGGAACAACATGAGGAGAAACATTGGTAACATGAACCAAGAGAGAACCTTGCAAGCAAGACAATTATACAGAAAGGGGAAGGTGGTGATAGGGAACAGGGCCCCGCAAGAGAGTAATGGTCAAAGTACAACATAAGCGAGAGTGAGGGTGTTGGAGGGACCGCGCACAGTAGCGAAGACAGTAGCGATTACAGAGGATGGTGGTATCAACATACAGGCTCTGGGTAGGAGTCGAATGAAAGGCACCAGACCTGAGGCGCAGCCCAGTGTGATAAGGCTCATCAAAACAACGAAGAGTTCGGGAAGAGGCAGACGAGTAAGCAGGACAGCCTTAATAGAGTTTAAACAGCACAAGAGAGAAATGTGGAAGAGCGTTCGCCAATCAGCTCCCCAGGAAGTATGGGACAAGACCATAAATATGTTAAGGGCCTTAGAGCATTCATCATGGAGGTAAGAGATATGGGGGTGACCAAGACAAACAAGCATCAAAGATTGCTTCCAGACTTCCAGAAGTTTAGCAGAATCCTTATATAAAAGAGGATTACCATAAAGCAACAGAGTGGGGGGGGGGGTTGAAGAACGACCTGTTCCCGAGTAAAGGTCATAGCACAAGTCTTGGCTGTAGAGAGCATGAAGCCATGATTGGTGGCCCCAGACGACACGGCATCAATCACAAATTAAAGCTGCCGTTGGAGGACAGGTGAATCATCACCTTGACAACAGAGTGTAAGATCATCTACATAAAGAGCAGAGAAAATGTCAGAAGGAAGGTAGGAAAGAAGACCATTGAGGGCAACCAGGAAAAAGAGTAGTGCTCAGAACACTACCTTGGGGTACATCTTCGTATTGCCAAAAAGAGGCAGAGAGAGCGGTATCAAGCCGCACTTGAAAGGAACGATGAGAGAGGAAGCTTTGGAAGAAGAAAGGGAGATTACCATGAAGGCCAAAAGATGGGAGTTGGGACAGAATATAGTATCTCCAGGTGATGTCATATGCCTTTTCTAGGTAAAAAAGGGACAGTAACCACGGAGGTCTTCACAGCAAAAGCAGTACGAATATAGACCTCAAAAGTCACAAGGACATCAGTTATGCTGCGACACTTGCAAAAGCCAAATTGAGTAGGGGAGAGGTGATAGTGTTCCAAATCAGACAGACGTACATTGACCATACATTCAAAGAGTTTGCAGACAACTCGTTAAAGCAATAGGGTGGAATTCTTTAGGGAATGACCCTAGAGAACCAGGTTTCAAATCAAATCAAATCAAATGTTTATTTAGGTAAGGTACATACATACAAGAGATTTTACAAAGAGTGATGGATTTATAGATAGGGCTAGTACATACAATGCCTAAAGCCACTATTACGCAAAGCGTTTCGGGCATGAAAAACTTAAATGACTAAAGCTTAATACTAATTTAGCATAAAGAATAAAATGAAAACATGGAATGAAAACATAGCTGAAAAAGCAGCACAAATAAAATTCTGTCGACAAACAGCGCTCTTTAAAAAAAACAGACATTGGTTGACAATAGAGGGGTAAGGCAGGTTACAGGGAATTTATTAGGTAGTGCTTCGTTTTTATCTTAAACTGGTTGAGAGAGGTACAGTCTTTAACATGGTTGGGAAGGTCATTCCACAATCTGGGTCCCTTGATTTGTAGAGCATTTCTGGTTTGATTAAGTCGTACTCTAGGAATATCAAAACTGTATTTATTTCTGGTGTGGTGCTCATGGGTTCTGTTACAACCTTCTATGAAGCTTTTGAGGTCAGGATTGGCATTACAGTTTAGCGTTTTATATATGTATAATACACATGAGAGAATGTGCAGTGACTTAATGTCTAACATATTCAGAGATTTGAGTAGGGGTACCGAGTGATGTCTGGGGCCAGAGTGGGATATTGTCCTAATAGCAGCTTTGTGTTGAGTAATTAGAGGACGTAAATGATTTTGGGTAGTAGAGCCCCAAGCACAAATACCATAGTTGAGATATGGATAGATAAGGGAGTAATAGAGAGTAACCAGGGCAGGGCGGGGTACATAATATCTGATCTTAGAAAGAATGCCCACAGTTTTTGAAACTTTTTTGATATGTTTAGAATGTGTCCCTGGAAATTCAGCTTGTGGTCAATGAGAATGTCAAGGAATTTGCCATCTAATTTGTTACAAATTTGGGTATTGTTTATTTTGAGATTTATTTGATTAGAGGATTTATTGCCAAACAGAATATAAAAGGTTTTGTCAATGTTAAGGGTGAGTTTGTTGGCAGTTAGCCAAAGATGGACTTTATTTAGCTCAGTATTTACTGTGGCATTTAGAGCAAGGGGATCAGGACTGGAGTAAATGAAGGTTGTGTCGTCAGCAAATAGAATTGGTTTGAGGTGTTGGGAGGCATTTGGAAGGTCATTAATGTAGATGAGAAAGAGGAGAGGGCCAAGTATGCTGCCCTGGGGAACACCAATGTTGATGGGTAGGGTGGGAGAAATTGTATTATTCACAGAAACACATTGGAGCCTGTCAGTAAGGTAGGATTTGAGGTATTGTAGGGACTGTCCTCTTACACCATAATGATGTAATTTAAGAAGGTTTTGGTGGTTGACAGTATCGAAAGCTTTACGCAGGTCCACAAATAACCCAACAGGGAACTCATTTTTATCAAGAGCTGTATGAATCGAGTTAAGCATACTAATAAGTGCATCGTTAGTGCTTTTTTTGGGCCTGAAGCCATATTGGCAAGGGCTAAGTATATTGAGTTTGGCTAGATATGAGTAAAGCTGCTTATAGATTAGTTTTTCAAAATTTTTTGACAAGTTTGGCAGGATTGATATAGGTCTGTAGTTGTTAACATCTGTGAGATCACCACATTTGTGGACAGGGGTTACTCTCGCTTTTTTTAGAATATCTGGAAAGGTTTGGAGTTCAAATGACTTGTTGAAGAGCAAAGCAATAGCAGGGGCTAAGGATCTGGAGGGTTTTTTGTAGATTAAAGTTGGTATCTCCTCAAGGGCACCAGACTTGGTTTTAAGGGAAAGGATTATCTCATTGACGTCAGCGGAATTAATAGGCTTTAGGTACAGAGACTGTGGATAGTTACCTGTAAGATAGTCCTTAATGTCAGTACTGGAAGATGGAATATCATTAGCAAGGGATGAACCAATGGAAGAGAAGAACCTATTGAACTCAATAGCAGAATCAGAGGCTGAAAGCTGACCATCGTTATTAGACAGGAGAGTCGGTTTGTTATTTAAAGACTTCTTTACTCCCAATATTTGTGAAATTGTTCTCCAAGTTTGTTTAATGTTGCTCTTTATTTGTGAAAATTTATCTTTGTAGTATTTAGTTTTGGCTCGTCTAATTATCTTAGATAGCAATAATGAGTAATTCTTTGAGAATTCTTCGGAGACAATTCCTAACCTATACTTCTTCTCAAGGTCATGTTTTTTATTAATAGATTTAAGTATTCCCTTTGTAAGCCAGGGATTGTTAAGCCTTTTGGTTGTGACTTGTTTTGTAAGCATAGGGCAGTGGGTATTATAAAGGCTAAGAGTTTTTTGAAGAAAAGATTACACTGCTAGGTTGATGTCCTCTATGTTACCTAACTCGGACTCCCAGTTGACATTATCAGTAGCAGTTATAAAATTGTCTATAGCAGTTTCATTGTGTAGTCTAAAACGTATCTCTCTTGACTCAAGAGGTGGTTTGCTAATGTTAGTTAAGAGAAATGTGGGGTAATGGTCTGTAGTGCTATCGGTGATTATACCTGAAGTAAGCGGAGAGGTTATGTTTGTCCAGATGTGATCTAGAGTCGTGGCAGTGCTATCAGTGATTCTAGTAGGTCTAGTGATTAAGGGTATGAGGAAGCAGGAATTCATACAGTTGAGGAAACTAACAGCAGTAGGGTGTTCTGGCTCGCAGAGGTCAATATTAAAGTCCCCTGCGATAATTAGGTGGTTTTTGTTCAGTCTGTTATCAAGTATTAGATTTCTAAGGTTTGAGTTGAATTCGGACACATCAGTGTTAGGAATTCTATAAACTGCACCCACAGACAGGACAGACTCGGCACCCTTGACTCTGAAGCTGGCGAAGATATACTCCCATAGCAGTCTCTAGTTCTAATTTCTTTTAAGCATGTTAGTTCTTGGTGGTAGTAAAGAGCAGTTCCACCACCTCTTTGAAGTTGGCGACAGTTGTGAATTGCTGAGTAGTTAGGCATGTTAAAGAGTTGAGTAGTATCCTCTTTCAACCATGTTTCAGTAAGTATAATAAAAGAGAATTTGTTGTCAATAGCTTCAATCAAGGCACTAACATCATCGAAGTGTTTACCTAGGGATCTAACGTTCAAATTGATTACAGAGATATTGTGATTATGATTAATACATTGTTACATCATGTGCTGCAAAATATCTGCAATTTAGATCAGTAAAGTGATTATTGTCATAGATAGTGGATAAGAGGTTAAGTTCTGGGTCTATACTTGACTGCATAAAAAAAGCTGATTGCAGGAAAAACAAGGAAAGAAAGGCAAATTACAAGGTAGAAATAAGCTATAAAATAGGGGAAAAAATGTACACAATACTGCACAAAACAAACACAAAAGGGGCTTACAGGGGTACAATGGAGTAAGGGAGTATGGCTAGGCTAGGCAACCTAGGTAATAAATGAGATTAAAGAAAAAACATATAAACATGGATTATACAAAACACAAGATATAGACATACAAAACAAAAATATAAACAAGACTAAGCAATACAAAAACAAATTGAGCAAAAATGAAAAATGAGGTAGAGTGCTTACAAGTACTCTCTGGTACACTGTAAGTAACAATAGATAGATAATATATATCAATATAGATAAGAATGTCACAATACAATAAGATAAGCAATTACAGGAACAGATGAAAACAAATCTGCTGTAAAATAGAAAGTAATTATAGCAAAACACAACAATATAATAATATAACAATACAATAAGAGCTTACAAAGTATTGAGTCTGCTAAATTAGAGAATAATTATGGCAAAACACAACAATAAATGCAAGCAAACAAAAGAATTGAAACAATTAGAGGTAGAATTAAGGTCACTAGATAGCCATGGAGGATACACAAGTTTGGCGGAGAGAACAAAAAATCAGTAGTGACTGTCAAGATGAATATATAAAAAAATTTGACAAATGATAATTGTAAAGTAAAATAATCTTAAAGATAATAAATTTTATTTAGCTTAGTTTTAACTTATAATTAGTTTGAACTTAATTAAAAGAACAAAAATGAGATCAAAATTGATTTCAATAAATGACATAGATCAATACAAATAAATTTAAAATATAAATGGAATAGGGTAAGATTAGATTTAAGAGTAAAATTTTACAATGAAACTGAGGTAGATGCTTGCATAAGTGCATGGAGACTTGATGGATTATTTAGGAAATTATATGAATGAGAGAACATTAGGTAAATGGTAAGGCAGAGACAGCACCTTAGACAAAGTTAGATTAAGTTAGGTTAGGCTCAGGCACTGAAAGAGTTATTACTGGCATTGGTCGGGTTCAGGTTTTCAGATATACCACAATCACTTAAGAAGGCCAGGAGTTGTTGGTCACATTTTATTTCATATCTTTTTCCTGTACTTTCCTTCTTCGCAAAAATCGTACCATTCCTAGTGTAGCACTGCTTGATAAGACCAGGTTTTTGTTTGCGAATTTGACGCAGCCTGAAGAGGAGGGATCCACGCTGCTTTGTAAGACACTCATTTATATAGAGGTTGGTTTTTTGCTTAGCAGCTGATTGTATGAGGTCAAACTTCGCAGAGGGATTTGCAAGTTTGATGAGCATTCTCCTACTGTTACGGGGATTGTTTTTATCTATCCTAATAGCCGATTTGATTTGAACATTGACACTGATCTTTGAATTAATTAGGGTGTTGGCTATGTTACAGCAATCCTCACCTTGTTGTTCATCATGTAGATCAGTAGAGCTAATTATCAG